TTGCAAAGCATATTTTACCCCCAAAGTGTACATATTTCTTACCTGAAATAATGGAAATCTTTGGGAGCTGCATAACACTGGTCCTCCCGAATCTCCCTAAATTGCATTCGTTTTGATGATTTAAAGGATATTTATTGCATCAGTTTCTTTCTACCAGTCCATCTTTGACCGTCGCATTAAAAACCACACTTTTACCAGCTAGAATTTAGGTAAACCATGAAAAAACCAGTTGGCCCCATTCGAAAATTTCATGCCTTTCATCAAAATTTTCTTGGAGGAAATGACATATCTTCCTATATTTACACAGTTTTCTCACTCAGTTTGGCACCTTATTCTCTTAATCGGAAAAGTCGCGAAGTTTTTTTTTTTGTTTTCGGCGGATATTAGAACTGTTTGCATGGAAGCAAAAAAATTGTAAAACTGATTTACGATGCATGATTAGTTAAGACTGGAACAAAATTTAACAAAGGAGAAAAATTTTCACCTAAAGAGTAAAAAATTTAACAAACAGGATGCAAAAGGTGATCAGAGTACCCAAAACTTAAGTAAAAAAGTATGAAATTTCAAAGAGAGACTAAAATACAAGCTTTCTCATGATTTGTTAAGTTGTGCAAAAATTGATCCAGAATGTTCGACAGTCAAAGAGTTGTTTAAGCTTACCAAGCATGGTTTTTCATCAGCGCGTAAAAAGTCAATCCTGGATATGTAAACAGGCCTGGCGCCATCTTTATCACCAACACTAGCCTTTTTGATACTGCGAACATTAATACGACGCAAACTTGTGGACGGTTGACCAGCTGCTATTAAAAATCATCCTGTATGCAAACATTTTGAAAGGTTTATACAGACTTTGGATTCTGCACGTTCTTTTCAAACTCCTTGACCTACGAAAAACCTAGATACCGGTGTGACCATGCGTCTTTGCATTATTTCTTCCTATAGGAAGGTTTATGTTTTGACTTTTGCTGCAAATTCAGATTTGTAGTGTGATAAAGCATAACTCTTGTATGTAGTGTGGTATGAAATAATAAAATTCGAAATGAGTTTCTGACTAGCGGAAGAGACCGATGACTGCGGAGTTGTAATATGCGTCCACACACACTGTACATGCTTAAGCGAGAGTTCGCTTTACGTTTTCTGGCGCGCACATAGAAAGTAAACATTCTCAGGAAAATACTGCATCCTGTTCGGTCTAGTTACCAAGTTACTGGGTCCAGCAGTGCCCCAAACTAAACTTTCAGTTGAGCGCATGCGAGACCTAAACGCCTTTAAAGCTGAATATGGAATATTTCGGTCGCACATTGGCGTTGGGTATCGGCGTAAAATTCCAACTTTCCAAATTAACTGACTGGTGAAATCGCTTATCATTACAAGCATCGTTGAAATGTTCAGACACGCTACGCAGGCGAGCGCTAAATCTACACTTACTTGTCCAACTGTCGTCAAACTAAATATTCACGTGAGGACAGGGCACTCAACAGTGATTTTCGAGTTGGCAAATTGCCTACGTGGTCTGGGTTTCAATTTTGACGTGTCCTGCTTGTAAAGCAAGGTGCTACAGCTGAACCTGAAATCAGCTGTCACAAAGCACAAAACATCCTTGTGAAATTTTAGCTCCCTATCTTGTCTGCTCCCAAAAATCGGACTTACGCCGAAAAATTTGCACGAATTTTTAGATGTCCGTACATGAGATCGAGGCATGCATGAACGGTAGTTTTAAGCTATTTGGATGGCACTTGGCTAAAAACATCCCTGTGAAATTCCTACCTCCTAGTTTCTATAGATGCTGAGTTGAATGTGGATGACAAAAATCGGGCATACACACACACACACACACACACACACACACATACACACCTACCGACAGCCTCTTGACAGTATGAGTTTTTGCATCTGATAAAGACTAGAAAGCTAGGTTAGCTTATACATTCTTTAACAGCTTTGGTAATAGTTTTCAAAATATCCAAAAAGAAACAATCTTTTATGGCAATCACAGGGTGTCATTCCGAAACCCAAAATAAAACAGTTCATCTGTTTTTGTCGCCCAGAAAAGCTGTAATCGGCGAAGCAGTCCGCATAAATGCACCGCAGTGGCGTCACTTTAAAAGGCCAGCCAGAGGTGCAGACTTCAATAACAGTGGGAAGATAGATAAGCGCGAAATCATCACCAGCTGACTGAGTCTGAAAAACTTGCTGGATTTGGAAGAAGTAAACAAAGTCAAATTCAAAACCCCTCAATTGTACGCTTTCCGAAAGAAGCAGAGGAGCTGAGAAACGGGCTGATTGATGGCAACTGGCTAACGAAAGCAACCAACCGCAAGCAGAATTTTTGATAAATTCTTTTCCATAAGACTGTTTAAGGGTATGATGAGGATTGTAACAA